CATACATTACGTAGTTCTTGCCAACCTACAGATGCATTAGGCATAAACAGCCTCAAGAGCAGAGATAATAGTAAAATATAGCAATATACATATATAGGAAATGATGAACTGTCAATATTTATCTTAGTTTTAAATATAGTTTAATTGTAAGTTAATGCCATTTAATTTTTTAATAATAGTTGTGTTTAACAGTTCACAAAATTCTTGAACATTGGATAATCTGCTCTTGTGAGCCACACATACTGGTTCCTGCAAGCCACCCTGCTTATCCAGTATACCTGGCAATGGGTGTTCCTGCCATCACACTTCCCAGTGCATATTTTCCTTTGGGGGAACAACCTCTTCCATTCCATGTTGTTCTGGAGAAGCTGACAATCACACGATCCCCATCCTACTGGATGCTGATAACAGGAGTTATGACCAAAACTGGGCAAGCTGTGGGGCAAGTGGTAGATGCCAGGACTGGGTCCGTGCATTCCTAGGAACTCACCCCACTCACCCACCCTTACTTGGTAAGTTGTGGGCAGCAACCCAGACAGCCCAAACACATGCCTGCTAGTATTCATGCTTATTAAAATATCCTGGACCTACTCTCCTCACCCTGATCTCTTGCAGGTTGTGCTCCTTCCCGGCAGGGTCACTGGGACTGATTGTGGCTTTATGCAAGGGCCACACCTCCTGTTCTGCAGGGTCTCTTACCATAGAAGCTCTCTGTTCCTCCCTCCCCTTACTCTTGCTGGTGGTTTCTCGCCCTGCCTTTCATAGTCAAGAGTCTGTCTTTGTCGGTGATGGGGAGCTATATTGGATAGCTTCTAAACATCAGGAGCTTATTTCGTACAATTCTGGAGGCTAAGTCCAAGATCAAGGTGCTGCCAGATTCTGTCTGATGAGGGTCAGGTTCCTAGATAGTGCCTTTTAGCTGTGACCTCACATGGTGGAAGGAGGGAAGGAAAGGCCTTTTGGCTGAGATTAATATCCTTATAAAAGAGTCCCCAGAGAGTCCCCAAAGAGGGGACTCTTTTATAAGGGTATTTATCTCATCCATAAGTGTCTTACCTCGTGATCTAATCAAACTTCTAAGTCCCTACCTCTTAACACCATCATTGGGCATAGGTCTCAACATGTAAGAGGCACAGTCAGTCAGTCTGTAATACAGTCCCTTTATTTATTTGAGGGCCGGGGGTGAGGGAGTTGAACCCAAGAGTGTTTTACCACTAAGCTATATCCCCAGTGCTACCACCCTCCTTTGAGACAAGGTTTTGCTAAATTGGTAAGGCAGGCCTTAAACTTCATTTCAATCCTCCTGCTTCAGCCTTTTGATTTTAGCTGAGATTACAGGCATGTGTCACTGCCCCTGGCCTAGCACCATTGCTTTATTAAACTCTTTTGAATTATCCAATTTTTGTGTGTCACTGTTTCCTGCCAGAACCCAATTTACCGTCACCCACACTTCCTACTCTGCTCTGTTCAGGGTGTTTGCATGGGGGCTTTGTGGCCCAGCAAGTAAGAACACAGGCTCTGGAACTGGCCCCTGTCTAAATTGTATTTACTAGCTGTAATATTGTGGCCACATTACTTTATTTCTTGGTGCCTCAATTTTGGCCACCTATAAAATGAGGATAGCAGTCTCTATCCTACAGGATCATTATAGGTACTAAGTGAAATGGTCCATATAAAAAGCTTAATGTTATGTGTGATGCCTAGAAATTGCCAGTAAGTAGAGATTATATTGTTTTAACATAATATATGATTATTAACTATAGTCACATGCTGTACAACAAATCTCCAGAACCTGAACATTCTTTCTGAAATTTTATATTGATTATATGCTCCTACTATGAACTCTTCTTTGGCCTTTTCCAGATTCTTTTTCCCCTGAAACTGGAAACCCAGAATTTAAACCTGGGTTGAAAGGACATATGCCACATGGACAGCACTTAGGCACCCCTGCCCCACCCATACCCCTGGCTCCCACTGAGCCCACTCAAGGCCTCCACAAGAACTCCCAAGTGCTGTTGGGAGCTGGGACTTTAAGACTAAGCTCTGGTCTGCAGGAAATGGGCAGGTGGGAGTTGGTGGGAATGAGGTCTAATGGCAGCTGCCTGGCTCACCTGTGCTGTAGCAGAGGTTCCTGCTGCAAGTTCACTTACAGCTGTGTGTGTGGGCACTGATGCATCAGGGCTGAGAAGATACGGGGATCATTGTCCTTGATGGCTTGCCCTGTCACCTGTTATTCCCAAGGCACCAATAGATGCAAAGGGATCTGAACTTCTTGGAAGAAATGCCAGATGCTTCTGTTTTACAGCTCCCTGAAGCTTCTGCATCTGTACCTCACAGAGGATCATTTGAGCAGTCTTACAGACCTGAGTTCCACCCTGGCTCTGCCGTGTCCTGGCTCTGTGCCTGGGGGTAAGTCACTTGACTTCTCAGAGACCCTACTTCCTCACTTTTAAAACATGCCAAGAATAGGACCCATCTGTCACAAGGTGGTGGGGAGCAGCAGATGAGATCACTCACATCAACTGCTTTCCTTGTGCCTAGCACACGTGGGAACTTACTAAATGGCCACTTTATATGTTCTGGGTTGGGCTGTCTGGACTCTGAGAATGGAAGAACAAGGTCCCCTGGACATATCTGTCTCCTTATGATCTCTGTACTGGGTTTTCTCCATGCTTGGTTTATTCTTATTCTCATTAAAATTTTTCAGCCCCTTCCCATTACTGGTCTGGTGAGCCTGAAATTTTCTGGGAAAGCAAAAGAGCTTCTCCAGCAGCAATCAGCCTGGACTCGAATCTGGCATCTTCCAGGAAGGAGAAATAGGGCTCCAAATCCCCACGCAGGGTGGGAGGGCTCCTGTAGGCAGAGCTGAGTCTGCCAACTCTAGGGAGAATTTATATAGTCTTTATTTGGTCTACGTACCTGCATAGTGTTTTGCAAACATCTGAAGTCACTGCTGAGATTGAGAAACAAGAAGCCCTTACTTACCCTGTACCCACATTCCTATCTTGGCAATACTAGGTGTCTGTTCCCCATAGTCTCCCTTGGCTTCCTGTCTTCAGTTGCAGGGTTTCCAGACTTGCAAGCATGCGCATTTGCATCCTTAAACTGGAGGTTGCTGCACATGCTTCTGTGTGTGAATATACAACTCCCAGGGTTCCTACCACCTGACTTTCTCACTGGCATCTACACCCCCATACCATAGATGTAGCTTCCTATCACTGCAGATGGATCATCCGCACTCTCCTCTAAAGCCAGTCTCTCTGCTAGGAGCTAAATCCCCCCACCACCACTCCCACTATGGTCTGTTCCTGTTCCCTCCAAAATTCACGCTGGAAAATGAATCCTCAATGCAACAGTGTTGGAAAGGGGGCCAACACATAACCTGAAGGAAGTCTTATACCATATCTTAAGTAATTTTGTCCATAAAATACTTTCATGATGTAAATTTTCCACTATGGTGTCACATATGCTCAAAAAGTTTTTGGTTTTGGAGCATCTTGGATTTGGGATTAGAAATACACTATTATTGGCTCTCTTTCTTCCTACACTCACTCCCTTGCTGGTCTCACTTGATCTCACCCTTCAAATACACCTACATGCCCGGCAACTCCGCAACTTATAGCCCCAGTCCAAGCCTTCCTCTGAACTCCAGGCTTAAATAGCCCCCAGCTACATAGCATCTCCATTACCAAGTCTAGATGTCTAGACAGATGAGCCTCACTTATCTCAGACTAAATAGCTGATCTTCTCCCCCAAACCTGTGGTCTCCTGTCTCAGACCTCAGTAACCCTGTATTCCAACCCCCTTATTGCAGCACCATTTTTTTAGGGCCACTAATCACTACTGCCTCTTAAATGCTCTTCCCATGTGCCAGCTGAAAGCCCTATGGTCTATTCACAACGCATAGGGAGAATCTTTAACCTACAAGTCAGATCATGTCACACCTTGGCTGAAAGCCATCTAACCACTGCCACTTGGAGTAAAGGCTGGTGTCCTCATCAGGGCTGTAAGATCCTACACACATGGGTCCCTCTGGACTCACCCCCACCACTCTCTCTTCTTGCCTCCTGCTCTAGTCATCTGGGCTGTTGGCTGCCTTTCAACAATGCTGGCATGCTCCCCCTTAGGCCCATCTGCCTGGAACATTCCTCCAGGTTTCTACATGGCTATGACCCTCAATCTCTTCCAAACCTTGTTGAAAAGTACCTCTCAAGAAACCCTATTTGAGCTGGATACTGTAGCACACCCTGTAATCCCAGCAGCTCCGGAAGCTGAGGCAGGAGATCTAGAGTTCAAAGCCAGCCTCAGCAACAGCAAGATGCTAAGCAACTCAGTGAGATCCTGACTCTAAATAATATACAAAATAGGGCTGAGGATGTGGCTCAGTGGTTGAGTGCTGCGGAGTTAAATCCCCAATACCCCTCCCCTCAAAAAAGAAACCCTATTTGAAATTCTACTTTGCCTTCCTCTGATCTCTCCTTACCCTACTTTGTTTTATCCTCCTAAGCATGTTATCTTCTTGATACCATATTGTGGTTTGCTATTTTAAAATACTACCTGTCAGTCTGTCTCCTGACCCCATTCTAAGGAAGGGGCATGGACATACAACAGCACTTGACAAGTATTTCCTGAATACTACACATGAATTTCTAGGAAGAATCATGGCTTTGATAAGACTAGTAGAGAGTTTTGGGTTCCAAAAAAAATATTTTTTAAACAAATAATAAAACACTAAACATTCGCATGGACTAAAAGATGTTTTTAGGGGAAAAACGTCTGGTTTTAGTTCTGGTCCTCAAAGAACCTTTCTGAGCCTCTAGAGATACAGCAGCAGAACTGAATATCTAATTCCCTCCTACACATCCATCCTTCTGGTTTGTGTGAATGTGGTGATATTGGGGGCCCTTCCTCTTGTCAGGAAACTCTGAATGCTGGCTTAGCAGCAGCTTCAATACCCTATAAGGGACTTCCCCCAGCAGCGGCACAGAGGAGAGAAACCATGAGATTTACCACACAAGTGGGTATTGTATGTGAAGTATGTGCTGGGAGCAACAAGAACAGCAGTAAATACAGAACAGAAAATAACCATCTTTGAAATGACAACAAATGGGAGACATTATCTAAGCACTAACACCTATGGAGGCGGCTGCCCAGCTCTGGAGGGCAGCAGCTCAGGACAGAGAGGCCGACTTCTTTCCAGGTTGCCTGGTCTTCAGTCCTTGTAACTTCTCATCTTTTAGCGCCTTCAGGAATTTATCTGCAGGAGAGCAAAACAAACAGCTGTAGTAGAAAGGAGGACTTTCCCTAACTCTTCCTAAGCAAGCTTCTAGGAAGCAACTGTGCTCCCTGCGTGAGCCCCAAACCATCTGTGATCCAAGGCAGGGGTGGGGAGTGGGTGGGAAAAACCCAATAGCCAAAACACATCTAATGGGGAAATGCAGTGTCAAGAAATCCAGGAGTTTGGGCTGGAGTTGTAGCTCAGTGGTAGGACGTGCCTAGCACGTGAGGCACTGAGTTTGAACTTCAGCACCACATAAAAAATAAAGGTATTGTGTCCATCTATAACTAAAAATTTTAAAATTTTTTTAAAATAAAGAAATCTAGGAGTTAGACAAACCCAAGTTTTCTAGGGATTGTTTTCCTTCCATGGCTATAAGAAAAGGTATGTTACAGGGGTGTCTGATGAATCAGAACTATTCTCATGGCCCCATGGACCTAAGCACTTAGGTTATTTCATAATTCCCTTCCTTGTGTGGCAAGGGCAACCAGTTTGGTTTGTGTGAATGTGGTGATATTGGGGGGCAGTTGGAGTGGTCTTTAGCCAGAACAGGGATGGGAAAGGGCAGTTTATGGCTACTGAACACTAAATTGTGCAATAGGCCCCAAACCATCTTACCCTTGGACATGGAGAAATTGGCTCCCACACCAGAGGATACCTGCCCACATGAGCACACCAGGTCTGGCCTGGTCCATATCCCTAAGATTTTGAATCTAAAACCAGATGGCAAAGTCCAGGACCTTGGTGAGGAACTAAAGGGACACAGGGAGGCAGCCCTCCAGCACTGAAAAGTGAATGTCTCTGGGGTTCCCCTTACAGACACTACAACTGATCCTCACCTACTTCCCCCACCTCCCTCCAGAAGACTCCAGTTTAAGAGTGAACATTAAAGGTTAACTAGAAGAGCTGTCCGTGGTAGGTGAAGCTCCCTACTCAGGGATGGGGTATTATTGTGCAGGATTAAAGTTCAGAATGCCGGTAATGGCTGGTGAAGTTTCAGGTGTGAGGTTTAGAATCCAGATTAATAGAATAGTTCAGGATGTAATTTGAGACTAAAGGGTCCAAAAATTTCAGATGTGTGGTTGCAGGGAGGAGTCGGTTGAAATCCAGGATGGGGGTGCGGGTCTGGGTTCTGGGGGACAGATTTTTGGATCAGGGACTCCTGGGGACTGGAGTCTGAGCCTAAAGCCACATTGTGGGGCTCAGCATGGAGCCAACGAGGGAGCCAGGGCAAAAAAGGATGGGCTCAGGTGGCCCCTGAGGGGGTCACGCACAGCGCTGGGAGTCGAAGCCATCCCCAGTGATGGTGAGCAGCTCCAGCTCCTTAATTCGGATCTCCAGCTCGCACAACTCCTCCGGGTGGGAGGCGGAGGCAAGCCGTGGGGTGGCGGGGCCGGGGGCCAGGGGTGAAGCAGCCCCCTCGGGGCCCGGCGGCGGCGAGTAGAAGAAGCGCAGTGGCTCGTAGGGGATGGAGGCCAGGCCGGAGGGCCACGGCGGAGGGCAGGGGCGCTCGCTGGGGGGACCGAGGCCAGGCGGCGGCGGAGGGGCCGGGGCCGGAGGTCCCTGAGGCAGGGGTCGGCCCCCAGCCACCCCACCGGCCGGCGCCCCGCCCGCCTTCAGCGGCACGAAGAGCTTCTTCCAGATGTTAAAGTCGCTGAGCGGGGACGAGGAGATGCCGCGGTCGTAGAGGGAAGGGAAATAGAGGGGCGGAGCCGGCCGCTGGCTCATCGTGGGGCTCTGACTGCCGCGCCGCCCCTTCGGCATCTTTTGAATGAGAGGCTGCGTGGGAGGAACCCCGCGCCCAGAGACTCGCGCCGGGGCCCGTGTCGCCGGGGTTCTCGGGTTCCACAGGCCACGCCCCGACGGAGCGCGGCCCCACCCTTTCTCTCCAGCCCCGCCCTAGACAGGCGGTGCTCTGAAGTCCGGAGGCCACGCCCCAGAACGTGGCCCGCCCATGACGTCAGGGCTCGCCTCTGTGGTGGGAAGGCCACGCCCCAAGGCCTAACCCGCAGGTTAACGCAGCGCTGCCTTCCAGCCTGGCCGCTTGGCTGCTCCAGCTGCTCTTCGGTTCCTCCAGCCTGTACGTGTCTATTCTTACCCAGAAACCGGAAGCAAGGAGTTGGCCCAGGCTGCGAGAGAAAACCTTTTTCAGCCTTTCTCTCCTTTTATCAGGGAGAGAAAATGTTTCCCAGCAGTCTCCCCCTGCGCCAGCACACTTCCCTCATTGCCTTAGTAACCACTCCTCGCTGCAGAGCCCCGGAGAAAAAAGTGGCTGACTGCTCATTCCCCACAGTGGCGAAGCAAAGGAGAAGAGGATTGGTTGGGAATGGCTGTTAGAACCAATCCATGTTTCTCCGGCACACTTAGCAGTGTCGTAGAAGATTTTGGAAAACAGAATTCTGGTCTGGATTTGTAATGGCCCTGAAGGAAATGATGAAGTTTTGTTCTCTACCAAATGTACAATATCAGGGGCTGACAGGTAACACGATAACCACCAAAGGAAATCCTGCTGGACCCACCTCAATCAGTTCACTTGTTCTTCGTGAGAGACCTGGACATTCTGTCCAAGGGACGTGCTTAAGTATGCATATGAATAGCCTGTGAGTATTAGTCATAAACTGGGGGAAATAAATTTTCCTTGAGAGCCTCAGCCTAATGTTCGTTGGTGTAAATGCATAAGGAGTCAAAAAGTCAGAGTCAGTAACAGCTCTACAAGTGAATGCTATATATACACATGCTGTGTGTGTGTGTGTGTGTGTGTGTGTGTGTGTGTGTGTGTGCGTGCATGTAGCTACAAAGCAGACAGATGTCCAAGCTGGATAACTTTTGGCAAGTTATTTGACTTCTAAGTAAGTTTTCTATCAAATAGAAATAAGAGAACCAGACTGCCTCCTTGAGTTATTTGTGATTATCAAGCAGAAGAACAGTGCTTCAATGTGTGAAGCACTTGAAACTTAGAATATGCCCAAATGCAAGGGGAACTCTCCCCACAGAGAGGCTTATCTGCAACTAGGGAGGCCCCCCCACACACACACACACACTTAGCTGTGAGCTTCTTGAGGGCAAGAATCCAGCCCAAGGATCCTCTAATATTGAGCATATAATAGGGCCTCTAATCCCAGCAACTCTAGAGGCTGAGGCAGGACATCCACCTCAAAACTTAGTGAGACCCTGTCTAAAAATAAAAAATAAGAAGGGGTGGGGATGTAGCTCAGTGGTACAGCACCCTGGTTTAACCCCCAGTGCTACAAAAACAACCAACCAAAAATCTCACAGGGAACTGATAAATATTTGAAACTTTTTTAACAGTGTTATATGTAATGGGAACTAAAGGAGATACCACCCTAAAATATGCCACTTATGGTGTAAAGAATTATTTTGAGGCAAAAGCAATTGAGAAACAGCAGTCATAAAAGAAACCTTGTCTGCCCCTTCCTGCCTAAAATCAGAGTATAAATTTCCCATTGTGAAGATGTCCTTCCTCCTGTTCCATGCCAAGAAAAGGAGAACTCATTACTGAGAAGGTACTAACTTCAGTCTAACAAATCTTGCCTTCCTGCAGTTTCTCCTATTTGTTTACTTTACCATAATTGATTGTCCCTGGAAACTCAAACATTTTCCCCCTTTCTCTGGTCACTTTTCCACAATTTATAACCCTTTGGTAAGTGGCATATATAAATTCTCAAGCCTAACCACTTCTTTGGGCTTCCCCTTCCTTTCTACCCTATGTATAAGTGGGTAATAATTCTTTTCTTCTGTTACTCTTTTTTCTATTTAATTCACAAGCCCCAGGTATAGATATAGGAACCAAGAGAGTAGAGGAAAAATGTTTTTCCATCCTGTAGAGAACCATCATAGTGGTAAGAGCCAGGTATTTGGACTTACACCTGGGACTGAGTCCTGGATTGACATGTACTTGGTTGTGTGAATGAAACTTTTCTGGACCTCAATTTTGTTTTTCAGTGTATTTTTTTAGTTGTTGGTAGACACACTACCTTTATTTTACTTTTATGTGGTGCTGAAGATCGAACCCAGCACCTCATGCATGCCAGGCAAGCGCTCGACCCCTGAGCCACAGCCACAGCCCCAGCCCCTCAGTTTTTTAATCTATATAATGGGAATAGTAATGGCACCTACTCACTTGGATTGGCAAGATTACGTGAGATATTCTAAATACCTAATCATGATATTTTGCTTAGTAAAAGTTAGCTTTTGTTATTATGTATTGAAGGTCCTTAGAAGGGAAAGAAATTTTGCCATTGTTTTGTAAATGATGGAATATAATCACATTTTTACATGTATATATCCTTTTGAAGAGGAAAAGCTTAACAGATTTCCCACCCTTCCTTAACTCCAAGATAATCTGAATAGATTTTATACTGGATAGCTTAAATTATATCCTTGTGGTTATTGCTGGTAGTTATTTAAACAAGAAACTGATGACAAAAAGTGTTTTCTCTAACAACTACACAATAAAACTCAAGTGCCTCAATCAACAAACATTGAGATAACCCCAAATCTGAAGATAAAGTCCATAGGGGGTAATAAGAAATCACAGTAAATAAGGCAGAATTCTATAAGTTGTTTTGTTATGGCAAGATTGCAATAAATCACCAAGTTGATTTTAAAGCAGGAGACAAAACCATTTTTATTCACCAGCCAGCAGTCCAGATTCACCAGCTGGTGGGCCAAGGGGCAAACTGCAAGTCTACACCCTTTGACACCCTCCAAGAATTAGAGTACACCTTTATAGTCGTATGCTATGCTAAGCAACTGTTGATGGGACAGAGGCAGGGTGTTCCCACCAGAGAAGCATTTCCTACATGACATGGAGTCTCAGAAAAAAATAGAGTCTATTTAGTCATTTCCCATATAGCCTGGCACATAACAGTTTGTGCAAATAAATCTTCTGAAAACTCAGGTTGGTGATGCAGAGATACAGCAGGCTTAAATACAACTTAAATAAAACCCTTCCCTTCCTGGGTTTCAAAGCTCTGTGTCACCTGCCTCTTACTCACATTCCCCATTAAGCACCAGCTGTTGGAGCTGGATCCAATTCCAAACACTCTGAGCCCCACCTTCCTGTGGAACCAATAGAAAGGCCTTTGCAATAAAGGTCAGCTGCAGAAAGTGGCTTGCTAATAGCACTCCTCTGGACAGAGCCCTCTCACCCAGTGGAGGGCCTGGTTAGGAAAGCCACAGGCTGGGCTGCAGCCTTTTCTGTTAGAACAAAGAATAGGCCACGGTCAGGCAGGTGGGTTCTTTCTTCGCCCAACTCACCAGTCGGTTGGGGCATAGAAGTTCCTCTCCAACACTCTGACTTCCACTCTCTGTGTAACTCAGGCTGAATCACTGCCGCTGCAGTTGGCATTTGGAATTTTCGTTTGCAGAGCCCTCTCCAGCCAGGAGGGAATGGAGCAGCTGAGTCATTCGCCTGCTTCCCTCCATCATCCCATTGCTTCCTTTGGAGATAATATAGAACGCCCCCTCTGGCTTGTTCCCCGAGGTTCCCTCCATTGCTTTAGCTCTGCGTCTGGACACCCTGCCAGCCATGGGTGCTTGGCAGTTTTTTGGGGGGTCCTGTAGTGTTTGTGGCTTGGAATGCAGGTTGAATAACTCTTATCCAAACTGCTTGGAACAGCTGGGTGTGGCGGCACATGACTATAATCCCAGGGACTCAAAAGGGTTGAGGCAGGAGAATTGGAAGTTCAAGGCCTGTTCAAGGCCTCACCAGCTTGGTGAAACCCTGTCTCAAAATTTTAAATAAATAAATAATAAAAATGCTGGAGCTATAACTCAGTGGTACAGTACCCCTGGATCCAATCGCCAGTACTGGGGAAAAAAAAAAAAAATCCCAAATCGCTTCAGACCAGAAGTGTTACAGATTCTGGAGGTGGTTTTTTGTTTTTGTTTTTTGTTTTTTTGTGTGTTTATTTTTGTGAGGTTTTTAAATTTTATTTATTTATTTATTTATTTATTTATTTATTTATTTATTTTAGGATTTGCATAGACTACAGATTGAACTCCTCCTAATCTAAAAATTTGTAATCCATGCTCCAAAAGCTGAAACTTTTGGAATGCAGATATGGCTCTCAGGAAGTTTTGGATTTTGGAGAATTTTGGATTTCTGGATTAGGGATATTCATCAACCTAGACAACAGAGTTGTGTTTGAATCTAGGATTCTGTGAACATGGGATTGTCAGATCAGTTCTCTGAACTTCAACTTTCTTTTTTCTTTTTTTTTGGTACTGGGCATTGAACCTAGAAGCACTTAACCACTAAGCCACATCCCCAGCCTTTTTGTGTATTTTACTTAGAGACAGGGTCTCACTGAGTTGCTTAGGGCCCCACTAAATCACTGAGGCTGGCTTCAAACTCATGATCCTCCTGCCTCAGCCTCCTGAGCACCCAGCTCAACCTCAACTTTCTGATCTATAAACTAAATAACTGCTTCGTGGGGGTTGATGTACTTGATGAAAATAGGCAGTCCTGGAGACACATAGTAAGTGCTTCCTAAAGTATGGCCGGGGTTTTTATACAGTTATAAATAACCCAGTGCAGGGCCTGGTTAGTAAAGCCACAGGCTGGGCTGAAGCCTTGAGCACTGGTGAATTGATGAGGTCAGTGGAGCGAGGGGGTGTACCACCCCTAGAAAACCAAACCCACTCCAGATAATTTGGCAAGGCCCTCCCTGAGAAGCTGAGTATCTCTGACAATGATAATAGGCATAGAGAGAAAGGCCACAATGTCTCAGGTTGCTTGTCTTAACTCATATTTTTCTAACCCAAAGCTGTAGGTGCCATTTTTCCCATTTTACAGATAAGGAAACTGAGGCTTGGCAGGTAATTCACCCAAAGTCCTATGGATGGTTAGCATCAGAGTCAGCAGGCTGGCTTCAGTGGCGCCTCTTCACCCTCCACAGCTGCCCCACTGTCCCCCAGCACCCAAGGCAAGGCTGTGTTCATGACCTCTGGACTGCCACCTCTCTTCTCAGCAGGAGGCTGGCTTTCATTGGAAGTTGTTTGTACCAAGATTTAAGGGCCAATCTAGTCTAAGAAACCCAGAACAGACTTCCTTTATTATTGATTTGAATGAACCATTGGTGGGAACTCAGGCCCACCTCCCTTTACAATGCCCTCTATAAGCAAGTTTCTTAAAAATGCACTCCAGCCCTTATTCCTGTTATTTGGTAGATGTGTTCCTACACAGCTGCAGAGTAAGAAAAAAATTCTTTTTTAGTAAACTGAACCCTGAAAGTATTTTAATGAAATACTGTGTGCAGAAGCCTAGAAGATAAACAGGCTGGGTTTAAAACCCCCCTGACCAGCATCAACTAGCTGGGCTACTTTGGGCTAACTGTGTCTCCAACACTTATTGACCATGTACTTACGAGTTCTCATGTTGCTGACTGAAAGAAATAGATGTGTCAGAATGTTCTGTCGGTAGCCACAGAATTGGACACAGATTTTTACCAGAGGGCTATAAGATGACTCATGGAGTCAAAAGCTTAACTAGCTTTTTTCAATGGTTCAGAGACCAGGGCAACTTCAGGAATTCAGGAACAGGAAGGAATCAAGTGCTCAACAAGTTTGGCAGGCTATTCTCATCTACTTAAGGCCCCTTGCTGCTTTCACCCACAGAGGCTGGAATAAGTAAATGCTAGCTTTGCCAACGCCCACCCCCCAAGACACAGCTCCAGCCAGAGGCTATGATCAGAAGATAGTTGGGAGTTTTCTGGGGAATATTTTACTTTCCTAGTAAGAGAGACAAAAATGACTGAACTTTCCCCTTCATTTTCTCTTCCTGCCATGAACTTGAATATAATGCAAAAACTTGTGCAATCATTTTGTGCTCATAGGAAAAAAACAAGAAAATCACTGAGATTCCGGCCTACCTTCCTGAGAGACTCATAGTCCAACTCCCCCCACCAAAAAAAAAATAAATTCTTTTTCAGTCCTTGCATAACTCCATGCAAGTCAAATTTTGGGAGAAATTTTGGTTAGAGGAGAGTAGGTTACTTGTATTAACAGTCCCCGCGACATAAAAAGATAGATGTAATTCCCCCAAATTTCTGGACAGAAATTTTTGGTGGCCAGAAACAAACTTTCTCAAACTAGTTCAAGGAATAGAAAAGGGGAGAGGGCATTAGAATAAGGCTAGATCTTACTGAATCCAAGGGCAGGCTTCTGAGCCCCAGTCAGTAAAATTGTGTTGCCATCTATAATCTGTAAGCACTCTTAAGGGTTTGGGTATAGACAATACTATTCATAATAAAAATTCAGAAAATCAAGTGACCTGGTATATTAACAGTGCGTAAAGTAGGGCCCGGCACATAAGAAGCTCTCGAGTTATGACCACTATGTTCCCTGGTCCCACTAGGTCCATACTGGTGGAGAATATGAATTACAATTCAAAATTCCAGTTCCGGCCACAACACCAGATCACACTAAATATGACAGCTACTTAAACCAATAAGGGCCATCCTATTGGTGTAAACACTTTAGGTGGCCTGATCGACCTATCTGTAAGCCCACAACCAGGTTGGTGGGGTCAGTGGGAGACAATGAGCAATGATTATATGTAGGCTCAACATACTGAAGCTATAACTAAGAATAGCAAGTGCAAGAACAGCAATGCCCTAGAGGAGCTGATCACAGAAAGGAATGCCCCACCCACAGCTGAGGAAGTTGGAGTTTCCCAGTTTGTTTTCTGCAGGGCACATCCTTTCCCCCTTCTCTGGAGACTCAGAGATCCACCCAGCAGCTGGGGAAAAAAGAAAACATCCTTACTGCCAGTGAGCACTGCAGACCCCTACCTAGAAATTAAGGCACTTAGTTGAGTGTAGTGACACTTGCCTGTAATCCCAGCAACTTGCAAGGCTGAAGCAAGGATTGCCAGCAAACAATACACAGTCCAACTTAGAGTAGTATCATCTGATAGAGTCTGATTTTCTTCCATAAAACATCCAGAGATAAGCAACTGCAAGGATTGCATGTTTAAGACTGGCCTCAGCTAAATTGCAAGACCCCATCTCTAAATTTAAAAATAAAATAAAAAAGGTTGGGAATGTAGCTCTGTGGTAAAGTACCTTTGGGTTCAACCCCCAGTACCAAAAGAAAACAGAAAAAAAAAAAAAAGAAGAAATTAAGGCACTCAGTGTGTTCATTTATCTTGCCCCTAAATAATAACGAATGTATACGAACAGCTTTAGTTTAGACAAATAAGACTATCTATTATAAATTTTTATACTGAATAATAAAAGAAATTTGAAAAGAAGACCTCTAGTCAGTTCCTACTTATGTCAGCCAGTGCAATAAATGCACTATGATTCACTGGAGGTTGAAGACCTCTAGTCACCTGTCCATTGCTGTGACAAAATAACTGAGATAAACAACTTATAAGGAAGAAAAGTTTATTTTGGCTGACAGTTTCTGAAGTACCTGACCATGCTCCACTGCTTTTGGGCCTGTGGTGAGGCAGAACATCATGGCAGGGAGCATATGGCAGGGCAAAGCTGCTCACCTCATGGTGGCCAGGAAGCAAAGAGGAAGAGGAAGGGGCCAGAGTCCCAGGATCCCCTTCAAGGGCTGTCCCAGTGACCTAACTTCCTTCTACTAGACCTCTCCCCTAGGTTCCGCCACCTCCCAATAGCACCACCAGCTGGGAACCAAGCCTCCTTCTACACAGGAGCTTTTGGAAGACACTGAAGATCCAAACCATAACATTCATATATTTGAGCATCTTTATTATTGCCAGACCCTTTACAAGTGCATTCTTTTGAGCCTCGCAATTCTTGAGGTAGGTGCAAAAAGCCAATGCTTAGAAAGGTTTTAAAAAAACAACAACAAAAAACTTTTAAACAGAGATCTAGCAAATTAGTGGATGATACAGAACCCAATTTCCCAACTACTAAACCCACACACTTTGCTGCCTTCCTTAAATGAAATCTCTCTGAGAAGCAGTGGACATTTAGAAACAGTGGCGGACACTGCGTTCTGAAATGATCTTCTGTTTCCAGAAAAGTCTAATGCGGTCCTGTGAAGCTCACACTGTTGGGGAATTTTTCAGTAACAAATGACTGCATTTAATGTTTGCTTTCCTAAGACAGCAATTTTTTTTTCAAAGCACAAAAGCACCAGGGGTTTATTCCAGACTTCCTTTCAAAGTTAGCCTGGAAAGTACATTAAAGTCAGTGTGCAAATGGGTAGGTCAGTAGAGTGGTTTACCTAGGGAGCTGTGAAACTATTGCCTTGGTGGCCTTGAGCCATTCAGCTAACTTCTCCAAGTGTAGTTTCATCTTATGCAAAGTGAGATCATAGTGTGGATGAAAAGGTACGTAAGACACTGAGCTCAGCCCAGGGCGATGGCATATGTCTGTAATCCCAGAGGCTTAGAAGGCTGAGGCAGGAGGATCACAAGTTCAAAGTCAGCCTCAGCAACTTAGTGAGGCCCTAAGCAACTTAGTGAGACCCTGTCTCTAAATAAAATATATAGAAAGGGCTGAGGATGTAGCTCATGGTTAAATGCCCCTGGAACAAGGGGAGAAAAAAAAAGACAGAGCCCTATACCAAAAAGCTGCCTTCGTTGAAATGAATGTCAGGTGGGTATGACCGTAAAGGCAGCTTTGCCTTCTCAGCACAAGAATCCTTTAACAAGAAGAACTGTTAGCATTTAATTCAGATCTGTTTGCAAGTAACAGAAACCTATGTGCATCAATAGGTATGAACACCGATAAAGAGTTGACTTACTGTGCAAGATAAATCATCGGGTCCTGCTGGAGACTGAGATGTATAAAGCTGGTCCATTCTCTCAGGAAGCAGAAGTCCAAAACTCGTGAATTGGGCAGACTCGTATCAGGACACACACCACATGATGTTCAGTCATGGGGCTGACTATGAGGACACAAGAAGAATATACCCATACCTTAAAGCCCAGTACGTCCAAGGTGAACTTGGACAATGATCAGCACCCTTCAGGACATAAAATGAGTTCCACTTACCCACCCATCAGATATACCTTGCACACAAGGCTCATTCCTCAAAAAAGACCCAACGGAGTTGTCACTAGCCAATACTGACACTATGACAGTTTCTGTAAAGTCATGCAAAGATCAACAGATTTAAGATCTTCCAGGTCACACTCAGCTCCTCTCTGCCCTTTTCATTGTTGCTTTTGGGTCCAAGACTCAACCTTGGTCTGTGGCATTATCATAGCAATGTTCTACACAAAGAAATCTCAAGGCTTAAGGCAATCTATATGGTGCTTGCTGAGTTTAACTGATCAGCAGCCCTCTACCCACCTAGCAGCACCCAGATTCTGCATTAAAGAACTACCTTTTCCCCAATGTACTCGGGCCAAGAAGTGAACACATGTCCCAAGAGAACAGGCAGACAGTCTCGTATTGGAATCTGAATCTTGAGAGAGACTTTTCAGGGACTGCTGGCTTTGGGGAATCTGGAGGCATTTCCCCACAAAGTTCTAAAAATTTCATTTTCTGCATAAGTGAGTCAAAATCAGTTCTTGTTCCTTAAAACTCATATAAGAGACTCAGTCAGTGGCTGTGGGCACTTCCTCAGGCAGAAAAAGGCTTACTGAGGAAAGAGTCCTAACTAGTCATGTCTTGAAGAGATGATGTGAAGAAAAACAGTGTTACCATGGATCACTCAAGGCGGAGGTGAGGAAGTCTCTGCTTTTCAATATTTAGGTAGTGGCATCAACGGATGAAAGCCAATACTGCCCAAATGTCCTTCTTCAATTTGCATACTGCATCTGGACCAATAAACCACACTCATCCATTTGATTATATTCTATTTTCAGAAAAGCAACATTTTTTGCATTACCATCTAAAAGACTACACAATGCATTTCACTTGTAGAGCAGATATAAAATCAAGAATTTTCTAGTTAATCAATAAATTCCTCTTGCATCTGCATAAGCCATGCTATGCTATTAAATACAACCAAGAACACAGGAATACTCATGTCATTAAGCCTATGGGATCTTAAGAATCATACAGTAACAACCATGGGGAAAAGGAAAACTTTTGTCCTCCCGAAAGGGATATACCATTGTTTAGGAAATAGGAAGAGCTTCCAAAAGCTTCAACATTGGTGACTATGATTGTTATGTGGTCAGGCTATATGGGCAATGACCAAAGCGACTCCATTTTTCCCTGAAACTCCACATCATGTAAGAAATGCTTCTCCCAGGGAAAGCCCCACCTCTGTACCCATCAACAGTTGCTTAGCATAGCACATTTGGCAACACAAAATGGCAATCCTTACATAATGTAAAAGTGTTCTCTCTTTGGCTCCCATTTTTCTTGGACAATGTACCTGTCAGAAATTGACTGTCTTTAACTTGTACTCAACTAGGGATGTTTTGACCCACTCTCTTCTCTGCTTATGACTTTAGATCTCATGACATTTGTTTATGGTTTTGAATCATAGCAACAGCCACTTATGCTTTAATATGGTTTTGGACTATAAAACCATATTAAAACCTGGAAGGGGGTCGAAGGGTGTAGACCTACAGCCTACTCCTTGGCCTGCCAGCTGGTGGATCCGGATCGCCAATTGGTGAATAAAGTTTGTCTCCTGCTTTAAGATCAACTTGGTGATTTATTGCAATCTCGCCTTAACGTGATAATAGCCCACATGAATGTATTTTATATCAACTGAGTTAACTAGGAATCAGCACACTGAATGCAGACAGGTGGGTAAAATATGCTTCCAGATCTGTTGCTATTTAGTGATGGCATTGGGAAATCACACATGGCTGCTGCAGTCCGGCTGCAGCAAAATAGCCGGGGGGTGACGAAGAACTTGTATACATTGATACAGCAGGAGTGGGAGCCGTTTATTGTAGGACCGGAGGGATATTTATACATTCCACACAGCTTATCTAATTAACATAAACTAGATACATCAGTCAACCAATAAGGAATCTCCACATTTAATGGCTCGCTGGCGTTACTTCATAAACCACTCCCTCTGGCATTTTGCCAGGCGCCATCTAGACTTGTTTACAGACTCTAACACATGGCAGCCCCAAAGGCTATTCCCATTGCATGCATTCCATACATGCATGAGCACACACATATATGCACATGTGCACGCGTGCGCGCGCACGCGCGCACACACATACACACGCACGTCTTCCTAACAGTAAGAGTTAAAATAGGCATACTTAGTACTCCCAGCCATGTGGTGTGGAATAGAATATTTATTCTTAAATTACATATGGCAAAGTCAAGATATCCCACTTTTCCAAACAGGGTGAAAAAGGAGGGAATAGAGCTTAAATACTCATTAAGGCAATTAAATCTTTCTAGTGAAAGACAACAATGCCCACACAAAATTTATACACATGGAAAACCTCAAATTCCCCAATTCTCTCTAAAGACAAAGCCTGTGTTTGTACACCCTGCCATCTAGGACTCTTACCCAGTCCTGCCATATGTCTTCTAGCTGAGAACAGAGCCGTGATCCCGCTCTTTCTGCATTAAGAACCTCATTGCAGCGGGGAGGTAGCTCACTGGTAGAGCACTTGCCTAACATGCGAGAGGCCCCTGGTTTGATCCTTAAAAAAAAAAAAAGAAAGAAAAAGAAAAAAAAATCTCATTGCTTCTAGAATATTCAGCATGCCTACTTGGCAACATCTGGAATATCCAGCGTGCCTACTTGGCAACACAGGAGCTGTGAGGCTTACAGAAGCATTTCCTGTGACGAGGAGTCTTCAAAAGAATCCCCCTGTCCTCTGAAAGTACTGCTCATGCTATTTTCCAAGGAACCAGAGGGAAATGCCTAAGGGTTGCTAAGAACCCACATAAACTATCCCCACACAGCTGGTTCTCTCAAGAGCAGAGGCAGGAGCATGTGACCTACAGAGTTGCACATGCTTCACTCAAACCTCTGTCAAGTGCACCTTCCCTGAGCACAAGTCTGTTGGAGTTCCTTTCTTTTATCCAAACTGTTCCAGGATGGACAATTTTATTCCTTCCCAGCAGGATCCAGTTGAAAAAGAATAAAGGCTTTGGAGGGCAGCTGCCAGGAAATGGGAAAGATAGAGAAGGGGACAGCCTGCAGAATCCTTCCTGGTGTTGAATCAGAGAAAACAGTTCCAGGATGTGACCAGAACCAGCGGCACCACCAGTATGGTTTTCCCTGATAAGGTGACCGTCCCCCCTTTATCTTTTTCTGGTTTTTCCAAGTCGCGGTTACACAGCTTCTTCCGGCAGCATCTATATGTTAGCTCAGGCTCTCCTAATCTTTTAGAAAACTCTTCAAAAGTGCAATCCTTATACTTCCAGCACTGGTGATATATTCGTGGCCCTGTAGGGAGACACACATGGGGTAAGAAATCAACTATGTAGAGTTCTGAATCTGCCCTTGAACCCTCCATTCTACTGCTGGGAACTCACTCTGTGGAATTAGATCTAGTCAAAAAGGGTCCTCACAGCTGGGGCGTCAGAGGGACTGAGAACTCTTCCATAAGACCCATCTTGTCAGAGCCAGTGGAGATGAGTGGGATGGAAGGGGTGGGGAAGAGGGGGGAGGAGAGCGTATTTACCCATTTAGGCATTTATATATTTAGGAGAGAAATTTGGTATTATCTACCAGGATTTTAAACAAAATCCCTTTTGATTCAGCAATTCCACTTTTAGAGTTTACCCTATGAAGTAAAAAGGTTATGATGTACAAAAGGTAAACAATAGAAGCTCAGGAATGGTCACTGAAGTACTATCCATATAGCAAGAAGAAGCTGAAAAGCAAAGAGTCTGCTAATTAAGGAGTGTTTGAAGAAATTATGAAAGGATTTCATACAGAGGTGCTCCATGCAGATAAGGAATAACACAGGCCTGTTGGGGCACAACAAGTGCCTGAGTTTAAAACAAAACACAAAAGACCAACTTCCCTCCTCCCCAAGATAAAAGCTGGTATCACCAACATCTCCCTTCAGTCACCACACCAGGTAGTGACGAGGTGCCTCAGACATTTACCCTGTCTAGGGGACTGCAGACAGGCTGTGCAGGCTGTGCTTGAGGGTGGAGGATGAGACAGCAAGAGGGACAGAGGCTGGCACTGGTGAGTCTCTTTTTGGCCGAAAGGCTTCTACTGAAGGCTCGAAGGGTGAAGGTACCTATGCACTGCTATCTCTGGGGTTGATGTATCATGAACCATCACTTGCTGGAAACCAGCCTCACAGAAGAGGCCTATGAGAAGTACATCAGAGATCACATGAAATCCATCAAAGGTAAATTTGAAGAACAGATCAGAAAGAGTAAAACCTTTTTTTTTTTTTTTTGAAGGAGGAGGGCAAGTACTCACTCAACCACCGAGCCACACCCCCAGCCCTATTTTGTATTTTATTTAGAGACAGAGTCTCACTGAGTTGCTTAGTGCCTCACTTTTGCTGAGGCTGGCTTTGAACTTGCGATCCTCCTGCTTCAGTCTCCCGAGCCTCTGGGATTACAGGTGTATACCACCTGGCCCAGCCAGAGTAAAACCTTTTATGACAGGAGGTGCAGAATAAATCCAGCACATCCCTGCTTATTTCAAAACTACCCCATCTTTATTGGTAAAAAACTTGAATCTAGATGGAAGGTTTGCTCCCTCAGGCTACAGTGAGGAGTGGGTGACCCCATGCATGATTTTCTTTATGGATGCTTTAGAAATGGAAAATGTTAACAAACTTGACTTTGACCAAATTGGCTGCTGCTTATGAGCTACACAACATCAGGAATTAAGCCAAATGGGGCTGATGTCAGCCCTTCCTTGATACTGAAAGTGAAAAAAACCATGTCATTAGGTTGTCTAAAAATAAAACACATTTCGACTTTCAAAAAAAAAGAATTCAGAAAAATAGATACACTGGACTACGTTAAAGTTTAAAAACTTTGTGCTTCAAAGGGCATTATTGAAAAAATAAAGACAACATGCAGGAAGAGAGGAAATGTTTGTAAATTAAGTGATAAGAATTTAGCAGCCAGAATATATAAAACATCTAGCTTTTAGCAGAAGCACAGAGCTGGGGGAGGAGGAAAGTAGTTTTTTCGTGTGTGTTTTGTTTTTAACTCAGGCTGTTTCCATACCAAACTTACAGGCCTGTGTCATTCCTTATCTGCATGGAATACCATGGTATAAAATTCTTTCATAATTTCTTCAAATGCTTTATAACTCTAGAATAAAAAACCAACATGCCAATGGAAACATAGGCAACAAATAGACATTTCTCCAAAGAAGACATACAAATATAGGCAATAAGCACATGAAACGATGTCCAACATCATGAGTCATTACGAAAACCAAAATCAGGGGCTGGAGTTGTGGCTCAGAGGTAGAATGCTCGCCTAACATGCATGAGGTACCGGGTTCGAGCCTCAGCACCACATGAATATAAAATAAAAGATATTGTGTCCACCTATAACTAAAAAATAAATATTAAAATAAAAGAAAAAAGAAATATCACAATGAGATATCACTTTATACCTGCCAGGAGGATACGATCGAGACAATCAAGAAAACAACAAGTGTTGGCTAGTAAATGGAGAATCCAGAACTCTCAGACATGGCGGGAGGGAATGTAACATGGTACAGAGACCTTGGGAAAGTTTGGCTCTTCCTCGACATTGAGTTATCATATGATCAAGCAATTCTACTCCTGAGTCTAAATAACCAGGAGAATGGAAAGCTATGCTCACACAAGAGCTTATGCATAAATGTTATAAATATATATTTGGCCATAACAGGAAGTAACATACTGAAAGCTGCTTTTACATGGGTGAACCTTGAAAATGTAAGGCTTAGTGAAAGAAGCCAGTGACAAAGGACAATACTCTATGGTTCCATTTACATAAGTGCCCCAAACAGGCAAATGTACAAAGTCAAAAAGTAAATGAGTAGCTGGCAGGGATGTGGGAGGGAGGAATGGAAAGTGATTGCTAATAGGTAAGGGGTTTCTTTTAGGGGTGACGAAAGTATCCTAGCATTAAACAGTGGTGATAGATGCACAACCTTGTAAATATGCTAGAAGCTACTGAATTGTACATTTTAAAATGCACAGTTTGTGGCATATGAATATCTCAAAAAAGAAGAAGAAGATAGACGTGGAAGAATATGTAGAATATCCATTTGCATAAATGAATTATTTATGCATGGGGTAAATGCAATATTTTTTATTTGGAATGATTCCATGTTACTTTCATGGAAGAGTAGTCTTCATTTACATTTCTACATGGAACAAGATTTTTTAAAATTATCATATGAATGACTTATTTTTAAAATATTTTAAACTTCACTTAAAATCATTATACTACTCAGTAGTATAGGAAAAATTTCCACAAGCATACACCATGATATTTTTAGAAAAATGTCCATGGGCATGTAGGAAACTAAAGGCAGAAATATAAATGATGAGGATTTTATAGTGTTTTTAAAATATTCATAAAAAGCATGTTGAATGAAAAAAATGTATTAGTTGACAAAGAGGTGTTATGGTATATTCTCCTCTCCCAATAAAAAGTATCCATGTGTCAGATTGTGTGCCAGATACTAGGGATTTGTACATATAATAAGGTATCCTCTTTGCCCCAGAATCATTTTCTTATCTTCTGTGCTAGTGCCCATTTCCTTATTTAAGATGTGTAACTATTTCATCTATTTTCATTCATAGCTTGGGGTTTAACAAAACATCTCTAAGTTCATAACTGCAGGTATATATAAACTGTCCTGCCCTCTTCCTCAGGGAGGATGGGTACTGGGATTGGATTTTAATGATCTCTTAGTCCAGAAGCAGAAGCTAGCCATCATTCCCAAAATGGCTCTATTTGCTTGAGTCATACCTATTAAAGTAGATGCTTCCAATATTACAGGAGAGGCTAATGTTCAATAGGACAAGATACTGCTTTATGTAATAGTAATTAAGTATCGGAGCTTCAAAAGCATTAAAGTTGCCATGATTTTAATTAGAGAAGCCTAATAGCTTGAGGAGAACAGAGAGCAATTTCTTAATAATTGCTACCAATTAATCACTTACTATGCATCCTGCGGCGTGCCAAGCACTCGAATTATCACATTCGAATGATAAACCACATCAGAACTGCCCAAAGTTAAGTGGATTCTATCAGTCTCACAGCATTAGAAGCTCTCTCTGCTTGCACGACCTCCCCATCTTAAAGACTTGATTCAAACTTACTGAAAGCAATAGTTTCTGTCTTAAGCACCTCTAGGTGTGGCCCTTATTCAGGGCACTGTCATCATCCTCTAAGACTCTAAGTACATTTAACAGGGTTACTACTGTCAGGAGGCCACTGAGTGGTGGCTGAGTTAGCATCCAATGCCTGACTCTCTTCTAGACTTTGCCCAATACTATCATATTCATTCTCTCGTCTAACTGCTCCAGTAACCCTGAAGGTAAACATTCCCATTCTACAGCTGTGGGGGAAAATGAGGTCCCAGGACCCCTTGAGGACCCCCAAATCTGAGAATGTGCAAGTCCCATACATAAAATGGGGTTGTATCTGCACGTAACCCGTGCACACCCTCCTGTATCTCTAGATCACTTATAATGCCTAATATGATGTAAATGCTATGAGAATAGCATTATACTGTATTGTTTAGGGAATAATGACAAGGAAAAAAGTATGTACATAGTTAGTATAGACAAGATTGTTTTCAAATAGTCCTGATCTGTGGTTGGTTGACTCCCCAGAGGAGAAACTCACAGATATGGAGGGATGACCATATTTCACAAAACTTCTGGTTATTACATGTCTGGCTCAAGTTTTGGGACTTATGTTTATGAGAAGAATAAAAATGTTTGAGATTTACATGACCTTTAAAGAAAATATAAATTGCATTCCTTTGATCACTTTTAAGTTCACAGCAAAACTGGGCAGAAAATAGAGAGAAAACTGTGACCCAAACACAACCTCCCCACTAGTGACAACCCAACTGGTGTGACAGCACTTGTTATGAGTGATGAACATACATGGACTCATCATTGTTGCCCAAAGTCCACAATTTATATTAGGGGTTTATTCCTGGTGTTGTGTATTGTATTGGTCTGTTTCCCTACTTTAATGAGATGCCTGACATCGGCTAACTTTATAAAGGAGTTTATGCAGCTTACAACTCAAGAGGTTCAAAGTGAAGACTGGGCCTCCTCATTGGTTGGGCTTCTGATGAGGGCCTAAAGGAGGGTGGCATCACATCATGGTAGGGGCATGTGTGGGAGAAAGGTTCATATCTCGAAAAAGGAGGACAGAGAGTTGGGTGGGGCCAGGCTCAGCTAATTTATAATAACTCTCTCATAAGAACTACATAAGAGCTACTTTCATTCCTTTTGAAGGCTCCTACCCAACTGCCCAAGGGATTCTGTATTAGGCCCCACCCCTTAAAGGTCCCACTTCCCAACATTGTCATACTGAAGGCTCAGCCTCCAATACATGGATCTTTTTGGTGGGGGACAAACAATATCCTAACAATTGTATAATTCTGTGAGTTTTGACAAATAATAATGACATGTATCCATTATCATACAGAGTAGTTCATTGCTCTGAAAATCCTCTGTACTTCCCCTATTCATCCCTCCTTTTGCTATAACCCCTGGCAGCCACTGACCTTCTTATTGTTTCCATAGTTTCATCTTTTCCAGATTATCATGTCACTAGAATCAGACAGAATGTAGACTTTTCAGGTTGGCTTCCTTCACTTAGTAATACATTTAAGATTCCTCTGTGTCTTTCCATGACTTGATAACACATCTCTTTTTAATGCTGAATAAAATTCTAATGTCTGAAAGTACCACAATTTATCTATTCATCTACTATAAGACCTCTTGGCTGCTTCCAAGTTTTGGCTATTATCAGTTAAGCTGTTGTAAATCTCCACAGGCATATTTTTATGCGGGTATAAGTTTTCAATCCATTTGAATAAAGAATGAGATTGCTGAATCAAAATGGTGCTTTTATAAGACACTGCCAAGCTATAGTCCATGGTTGGACCATTCTGCATTCACACTAGCAATGAATGAGAGCTGCTGTTTCTCCCCCATCCTTGCCATTATCTGATGTTGTCAGTGTTTGGGATTTTGGCCACTCAGAGGTTTTCAAATATTTTGGAGGCAGCACAGTATCACGGTTTAAAAGCACAAATTTAGGAATCAGATGAATTTCCATGTTCAAATCCTGACTTGGTTACTTGACCTTAGTCCATTACTTAATCTGAGCCTCAGTCTCCTCATTGATTAAATGAGGATAAAAGATCATCCTGAGAGGTAGATGAGAAGTATTCAATAAAAAAATATATGGCAAATGCTTAAAAAAGTCTTATCTATAGCTGGTGACAATCATTGAGAACTTTACGTGTTGAATAGGAGCTGAATAACAAGAAGAGAGGCACATGTTGGTCAGGCTCCCATGGGTTCATTGCACTTTGGAGACAGGGAATGGGAAGCTCTTACCAGCCTGAACAATGGCACAGGCATCCAAGTCTAAATGACAGCGGGTGGTTTCGTTGCAGAAGGAAACAGGATCAACACAGCTGTAGCACTGCAGGGCACTCTCTACAATCAGAAAGAAAACCTGTCAGGACCTGTTACACCGATACTGACTTCACCCAATAAAAGTAAGGCAGAGGTTTCTACCATCACAAGTACAGAGTGAGCTCAGCACTTTTCCTCCCTGACAATCGGCCTCCATCATGAACCACAAGGTAACCACCCAGATGAGGATTTCATGATCAACAACCTACTTTGGAGGAAACAAATGGTTGTTCATGATCCTCCCTAAAAATATTCTATTCCTCTCATTAGCAAACATACAGTATATATTTGCAGTCAATTATTACATTGTGAATTTTGTACATCAATATTTTTTTGTTTCCTCTCTTGTTACTTATATAAGAGCCCACATAATATACTTGATTTTGTCTCTTGACCTGCAAAGCCTTAAATATTTACTGCCTGGCCCTTTATAGAAAGTGGGACAACCTCTGGGATAGGGTATGATCACTGACCTGTTCCCTACTAAGGTACTAACCCAGGGCCAGTAGTACACATGGTCATGGGCCATATAGCAGCTGCACACTAAACCCTTGTGCATGGGGCAGCAGGTCACAACAGATACACTGGAAATGGAGGTCAGCTTACATGACAGGCCACTGCCCCACTGCCTAATTCAAAAAACAATATTGCTCCACCTCAGGTTCTTAGGACTCATCTTTGCCAGCTAAACCTTGGGTTTTCCTGAGTTATTTTTCCTTCTCTATTTTTATCACAAAAGGGACCCCCCCCTCAAAAAAAAAAAGAAGAAGAAGAGGAGGAGTTACAGTCAACATTTGTAATGGGGAGAAGCTGAGGAATCCAGAGTCAAAAGGAAATCTTCCTGAGTCATGTGGATACGCCCTTCTCTAGGACCAGAGAGAATGACCTTCCTGCCACTACGCGGCTTCTGCTAGGACCTCAGTATTTAGTGGTGGCTACCTGTAAAAAGACATTTTCAAAGATGAAACGTGTAAAATCTCACAGAAGAAGGTTAGGATTAAACCGGGGTGGGTTCTGGAGCCCGAAAGCTGACTTCTAGTTCTAACGTCATCTCCAGGGAATGAGGAGATTTTTCCAGAAGTCCAACAGAAAGTGGGTCCTCGCTGCCTGAGACAGTGAAGAGTCAAGCTCTTCACAGCATCTTCAATGGTCAAATCTGCTTTTTCAGGTGTGAAATCCCACCCACGGGAGATCCTGTGGTTTGGGAAGGTTCCAGATAAACCCCTTGAAAAATCAGGGCAAAAAAACTCTCCCTCTCAGTTTACAGATGATTGGAGAGGGGAAGTGACCCAACTAAGGACAAGGACACTCTGCTACAAAGCAGCAGAGCTAGAGCAGGCCCCCAACCCTGTGGGCAGGGCTCCATCAGACTGCTCTGCCCCAGGGGTAGCACTGGCCATACCTGGGTGAGTGGAGAAGTGTAACAGAAGGCACGAGAACACCATTTCTCATAGTCTCTTCCTTGTGCCCGATGTGTATGTACACATGAGAAGAAAGAATAGAACCGGGCACGGTGATACACGCCCGTCTTCCCAGCGGCTCTGGAGCCTGAGGTAGGAGAATTCTGAGTTCAAAGTCAGCCTCAGCAACAGAGAGGCACTAAACAACTCAATGAGACCCTGTCTCTAGTAAGACACAAAAATAGGGCTGGGGATGTGGCTCAGTTGAGTGCCCCTGAGTTTAATCCCTAGAACCAAAAAAAACAAAAAACAAAACAAACAAACAAACAAACAAAAGAATGGAAGACCCAAAGAGCTGGAAGAGGGAAGGTGTGGTATTCATCTGGCTGTCTGAGGGCCATTTTAAAAGATCACCCATAGGCATCAATCTTATCTTGGCTGGAACCAGAGCTTATTTGGCTTCTTGACAAACCTTTAGTTAGAGGGGGTTGGGGCCCATATTTGGAATTTCTGCAGGGCAGAAATTTTCATATGTAATATATTCATCTAATGTCCAAATGTCTGTGCACTTATGCATTAGGCCCTTCATAGAATTGTTATAAGATGAAGGTGTCAAGGGACTTCAACTCCATATTGCAAGAGAAATCTATGACTAAGATGTCAACTAGCCCACCCAAAGTCACACAGCTGCTAGGTAATGGAACTAAGACGCAGACTCAGGCCACCAGTTCTAACACCCAAGTACGGTTTAACCAAGACGTTCTTCTAATTGTCCCGAGTGGGACAAGAAGGAAAGTTGGACACAGGATCAAAGACAAGTAATTAGTGGATGGTCTGATATTCTGACTTCTAACCAAAGTCAGAAGGGATTTGACCCTCAGGGCCACTCGGTCCTGGGACACTTTCCCCTGATTCCTAAAGGAAGTTGTCCCATGTCTCAACCTCTGTAACAAGAGGCACCTTTGTGCTACTGGATTTGCTTCATTGTAAGGATCAAATGACATTTTCTGCCTGAGGGGGATGTTTCTGCCTATGACATAATGGCCTGTGTCACAAAAGTTCCCCCAAGGTTTCACAGTGTCTGGGGCAACAGCAAGGGAACTCTCTCTCTCCCCTCCCTTCTCTCTGTCCGTCTCCCTTTTTATCCCTCTTTCTCCTCTTCTTCTTTCTCCTCTCTCTCTCCCGTGTGTGTGGGTGAACTTCACATTCCAATTACTATCGTAATTACAGGCAATACACTGGGTAGAAGAACTGAGGAAGGAACACCGTGCTGTGACACAGGGGGACCACATTATAACCTCCGTACGGGAGGTGATGAGGAAGGTGGGTGAGGAGGGGAATCCTGACTTCTCTTTTTTCTCTGGAAAGGGAGAGAGCAGTCAGGTGTGTCCTGGGGCAAATTACTTCTCCTGCTGCAGTCTCCTCCACTGTCCAATTCGCACAAGAGCACAGCCCCTCATGGAGGGCTGGGGAGATCAGATGAGGCAGGCTTTGTCCTGGATCCTAGTGTACAGTAAGCCGTCAATATGTGGTAGCTACGAATACACCCAACACTGCAGAGACCTTTTTTTTTTTTTTTTAATTATTCATTGTGTTGCTACTTCTTTTTCTCCCTTCCACCTCAACCCCAGGAGGAAAGGCATCAGTAGTGGCCAGGATGCTGTACCAACAGGACACAGGCAGGAAGAACGTTTGATCCTTATGATGAAACAAAACCAAGTGGCACCATTGTTCTATTACAGAAGACTCAGGCCAACTTCCTCCAGGAACCAGGGGAAGGGCGGTTCAGAAAGGGGCAGCCCAGGAGAACAGGCGTCCCAGGAGGGGGGCCTGGAATAGGTGTGGAGACAGGCACCCAGGGTTCACATCTGGTGAAACACTTCTGGGTGTCCTCTAACAAGTTATTTCTTCTCTTTGAGTCTCAATCTTGTCATTTGTCCAACAGGGATAACACAGTACTCACTCCATTGGGTTGACATGAGGGTTAAACACGTAAATACAAGGACCATGACTGGCAGACTGATGAGCACGGAAGCGCTCTAAGCTTTAGCTGCTGCTCTCACTATGATTATCATCACTGTTGCTAAGGAGAAGCCACAGAGTGGAGGACTGAGCTCAAAAGGCTCTGGGGACAATGGGAGGGACCTGAAGGGACTTGCCCAGCACTATAAGGCAGGCTTCCACTGCAATCCTCAGGTAGCTTGTGGTGAGAAACCATAGGCTTCGGTGAAACCTAAGCTGTTCAGTTCCCCTGCCCAGAAAAAGGCAGCCCTGTAACTCAGGAAGGTGTCCCACTGACAGCAAGGTCACAGCTTAGGAAAGAGGTGTCATAAAACCTTAGACCTGTAACCCTGGAGGCAGAAAAACCAAAGCCAGGCCTGGAAGAGGGACGGGGGTGGAAACTGAGGCCAGTCATGTCAGTTTCGTCTCCCAGAGGCCTAAGAGGAGGAAAATTTAGGACCAAGGCAGGCAGGATGGTGTGTATCTGTGTCCAGAGACTCTCTACCACTCACCTGAGTGGCAGAGGACAACCGGAATGAACAGGACTCCGAGGAGGGTGAGTCCTCCTCTGCTTCTCATGGTGATGGTCCACAGGGACTGTAAGAAAGGGACAAGAAGAGTTGTTATGGAACAACGAGTGGCTGCTGGTTATCTCAAAACCAAGAGCACAAGGTCAAAGGGGCCTCAGAAAACCTGGGAAGGTGCTAACAGACCAATACCAGGAAACTTCCAGGCTGGGATGCCATGAACCCAGGGGTCCTCTTGGGTAGTACTGGACCTCTTCTCCCTCCCCAAGACCTCAGTTCACTGGAAAAAGGCTGCCCGACTTGGGCAAAGGGGCAGCTATCAGGGAATCCAAGCTCACTGGGCTCAGTCAGGAATAGCTGGACCCCACCCCAGCTCTAACCTCAGCTAGCATGTACCCTCGAATAAACTCAGTCCCTACAAGCCTCAGTGTTCCTTACCACACAGTGGGAATACTACTCTCTTGTCCAGAAGGTTGCTCTGTCCAGTGAAAATACCAGAAAACGAATGAATATGACAACTGCTCTGCTGGCACCACCCCAACCTGCTGGCTGAGCTGGAGGGCCAGACCAGGCCACTAAGTAAAGAGGACCAAGAATGTCCCCACGAGGCAGCAGCATGTGTTCAGCAGCCGAACAGGTGGCAAAGGCTTAGCATGCACGGAAGCTGTGGCTCCCCACCCTAACAGATGCCATGGGGACACGTCCTTGTTCCCCCTGGGGATGCGAAGAGAGGGTCTGGGCAACCTCAGTGACTAGTCCTCATTACATAAGTGACTAATAAAGCAGGAAGCATCATCTGAGAAGGGAAGGCTGAGTGCTTTGAGCCCTCTTTTCAGCCAATAAGGAAAACAAGGCACAAAAGCTTTTTAGACTGGCCTAAGTGTAAAGCTTTTTGGTAGCAGATTTAGGAACTCTCCCAACACCACCCCTTGACCCCTGGGCCTATCCTGAAGTAAGGAGGTGACAGATGCTGTAAGTGAAGGTGCTGTACATTCTACTCCCCTAAGCCCGATAGGTCTGGCAGACAGATGGGGCCTTGGTGGGGAGAGTCACCTGCCCTCCTCTGGGTCAGGAAGGCAGCGGTCCCTAAAGCTTTTGGACCATAATCTCTCACATCTTTGAAGGGCAGTGCTATGCAGGAAGTGGTAGATGAAGGCCAGTGGAGGACTGAGAAGCTGGACAGGGCAGGGTCTGGTGATGGCCACAAAAGAAAACGCTGAGTCTTGCTCAAGAGGGAGGGTGTTGGGCTGGGGATGTGGCTCAAGCGGTAGCGTGCTCGCATGGCATGCGCAGGGTGCTGGGTTAGATCCTCAGCAGCACATAAAAATAAAATAAAGATGTTGTGTCCACCAAAAACTGAAAAATAAATATTAAAAAATTCTCTCTTCTCTCTCTATCTTTAAAAAAACAAAAAAGAGTGAGGGTGTCAAGGACAACCAGGGCCAGGCCTTTCCTTACAAGTGGAACTTCCTCCAGCTCCCTTGGCACCCTGCCAGCTTCCTGCTTGGTTCCCCATGCTCTGGAGTTTCTGGGTAGAAAGATTTATAGACTCAGGTTAGTCAAGGCACCCAAGAGATAGGGGTATGGATCCAAGGTCCCCAAAGAGCAAAAGCACTTCAGGCACTTTCTAAAAGTTCAGAATAGGTGCTAGGTCAGGATTCCCATCAGAGCAGGAGGGAAGGAGCCTCCTTACTTGGGTTAGGCACCAGCAAGGTGTCAGGTCGCTGGACCTGCTAGCTCTAGGTCTTTGACATAAGTAGCACTGTTATCACACACTGGATCCCTTACCCAGAACCTTTCTATGACAAAGTGGTGATAAAGTGCTTTAGAAACCACTGGCCTGAGAAGAGAGCCAGGAACCAGACTGTGAACTTGTCAAGGGTGTGGCTTCTGAGACTACTCTGGAGGCTTTTGAACAATGCCTTGAACAGTTCTGGCTCTGCCACTTATTTGCTGTATGTTACTTGGGACTTCCACGGGGACAGTCATACATGCTTCACAGCACGACACCTGGCCAGAGAAGGCACTCCAAAAGCAGCAGACACTACTGGCATTACTGAGAAGTCATGAGATTATCAGGAAGAAGAAATCAGAAGGGAGGGAGTCCTGGAGGGTGAAGTGGCGGGTAGACAGAGGGCAGCACTGGTCGAAGAAGCAAGATAAACTCTCCAGATGGCTCTCCAGATGGAAGCCCCAAACCTAAGGCAGCCTTCAGGTTTCTGGGTTGCAAGGGGAGTGTGAAGCCTTAGCTTGGACTCTGCAATAACTAGCTCGTTGTCACTGGAGCTGCTTCCATGCCGAGGCTGCAGGAAGGCAAAGATGGCAGGAGAAGGAAGTGGCCAGGGTGGTGTCGATGCCAGGACTGTGCTATTCAGATCAAAAGGCTGGGTCTTTATTCAGCACTACTAACAGGGGTTTCCCAGAGCAGCATGGCCGTATGGCATGTGTGCTGGTGGGGAGACAGAAAAGGGAACAGCTGATTGGTTGAAGCGATTTTATAAACATCCCAAGATGTTGACAGCAGGTACCATTAAACAGGATTATTTGTGACTTTTTCTTTATGATCCTTTACCTTTTGTCACCCATCCCCCTGAAGAGTCTATAAGAAACCAAGTATTAGTTTTATCATCAAAAGTATCAGGAAAATACACACGTTGCAGATGTCTCCCTTTTTTAAAAAAAAAATATTTTTTGGTTGTAGTTGGTCACAATATCTTTATTTTTTTTTTTCACTTTTATGTGGTGTGCCTCCCACATGCTGGGCGAGCGCTCTACCACTGAGCCACAACCCCAGTCCAGATGCCCTTTTAATAGTGCCATAGCAACTATCTTTTGGTAAATCCATTTCAGAATTTAAAAGAAAACAAAAACTCAATTTGATGGTTTGAACCTCCTCCCTAATCTAAAATACCCTCCATTATTTAAAAAAAAAAAAAAAAAAAAGGCGCCCAGAAGTTAAGTGTAGATAACATGGTGGTTAAACCAGAAGTGCTATTAATATCCACCCAGAGGTGTCAACTTCTCCCTTTTCTAAAAAACATCAAGACTCAGTAATAACAGTGTGTCCGTTCCTACGGACTATTCTAACAATACTGACATAACTATTCTAATAATATTGATATTATTCCCAAAAAGGCTTAGTCCTTCCAAAGAATGCACTACTGACAATCCCCAAATAAGACAGTGACACGTCTTTTTCTCAAAAACAGCCCAAAGGTATTCTGACTGGGGTCCTCAGAATAAGATGGGACGTCTATTGAAAAATACCATTTTGGGGTTGCAGATCACACTTTAAGCCAGCCTTATGTCTAAGGACACATTTTTCTGGGTACTTGACTCTAAAGTAAATTCCTTAACGGGCAATGGAAATAGGCTTTTCATCACAGGAATAAGCAAATAACAAAGTTAAACAAACATTGTTTAAAAGAGCAAAAGTCCAACCTATGGGGTTGAATTCACAGAGGCATGAAGAATTCCTGGAATGGAAGGTGCTCACAAGGTTTGATCCAGTTTAAAAATAGCTATAATTTATTACTTTTTCTTTTAAACATATTTATATCTATCTATTTACACACACACACACACACACACACACACACACACACACACACATACACACACACATACCCCTGCATAAAAAAAAATGTTTGGAATAATGTATCAATTCTTCTGAATATTTTAGAAGATGTTTAATAGAGTGGTACAGTTAGGAGCAGTTTGTTCCTGCTTAACTTTTCTTTTTTCTAACAACCAAATATTTTTTATACAAAATCTCTCAAAACAAGAGAATTACTTTAATGTACTTATGCATCATTTCATTGTTGGTTTCTTAGCTTCATTTTTCTACTACTCTGCCTGATTAGGTATGAAATAATATATACAGGCTCTCAAAACTGTCTAAGATTAAAAACCAAGTTTTTTTTTTGTGTGTGTGTATGTGTGTGTTTTCTAGATGTGAAATATAACAGACCATATTTGTAAAAAATGAGGACCTGGGTGATTTTCTAGTCTTTCCTAAAAGTGACACCTATATTATAATATTGCTTTGCTTCCAATTACACAACCTTGAAACAGTCAAATCCTTTCCCTCAGTTCCTAATTTGTAAAGTGGTCAATAATGATTTTATGTGAAGATAGAATACAAACATAAGATGTGAAGGTTTAAAAAACTCAACCCAGATTATAATGCCCTGTGTCAGTTTCAGAGACACACAGACGAATGTGCAAATAGACGAATGTACACCCAACCTTGGAGTTCACTCTGTCCTGGCTCAGACTTGACCTGGAAATAATATTTCAGTCAAGATGCTACATTTCTGAATTTCTTCCAGTTTTACAGAATAGCAAAACAGACAAAAGCCAGGAGAAATGGTGGAAGGAACCAGGACTGTGTTCTATTTGAGAAAGTGTACCAGAGAGAGTTACTGACTCCAAACTGCTGAGGAAGATTCTTTTTTATGGGGGGTGAGGAGGTGAGAGGATTGAACTCAGGGGCACTCAAATACGGAGCCATATCCCCAGCCCTAGTTTGTATTTTATTTAGTTTTATATCTTTTTAGAGACAGGGTCTCATTGCGTTCTTAGCACCCTGCTTTTGTTGAGGCTGGCTTTGAACTCACGATCCTCCTTCCTCAGCCTTCCAATTTGCTGGGATTGTGCCATGGCATCTGGCTCCATGTAATTTCCAAAGACAAAAATTAGGATCAACAAGGGAAGCATTTTGGATTTCTTGAACATCAGCTGTTTGTCCTATCTGCCCTGCTACATGCCAGGGTGGGCCCTGGACTAATGGTCAGCACATCTGGAAGGCAATTCTCTTGATGGAATGTAAAAAGCTTCCTATCAGTTGGAAAGACTCAGGCAGCAGAGGTTGCAGATCAGAGATGCTGCAATAAAGATTCCTACAGAAGACAGTAAGAGGCAAAAACCAGATTGCCCAAGGACTGAAGACTCTCATTCTATAATAAAAACTACTTGACAATTATTTATTTCCACCAACCTGAAATGCAAGGGGAAACTAAACAGTGGCAAGATGATTTACAAATATGGGCATCCCTTACTGTAAATGTTTTGAGTAGCAAATGTTTGGGGTATTTAGGTAGAAAATATAGTGTGAGCCTACAGCCCATTGTTTTATTTTATTTAATTAATTTTTTTTTGAGAGAGAGAGAGAGAGAGAGAGAATTTTTTTAATATTTATTTTTTAGTTTTCGGCGGACACATCTTTATTTGTATGTGGTGCTGAGGATCGAACCCGGGCCGCACGCATGCCAGGCGAGCGAGCTACCGCTTAAGCCACATCCCCAGCCCCAAAGCCCATTGTTTTATATAGGAAAACAAAAATGTGGCACCATCCAGTGCCACAAATAGCACAAATAACACAAAATATGATATCTGAACATATCATTAAAACTGTATGTGTTTACCTAATTTGTATATACATAAGCAACCCAGAGATGCTTGAGCAGAAAGCACTTAATGCTTTAAATAACAATTTAGTGCTAGGTGTGGTGGTGAACACCTGTAATCCCAGTGCGTGGGGGAGGGGGGCTGAGGCAGAAGGATTGTGAGATCAAAGCCAGCCTCAGCAAGATTGAGGTGCTAAGCAACTCAGTGAGACCCTGTCTCTAAATAAATATAAATAGGGCTGGGGATGTGGCTCAGGTGGAGTACCCCTGATTCAATTCCTGGTATCCCCAAAATAAATGAATGAATGAATGAATAAATAAATAATGATTCAGTGATGGAATGAAGGCATCTACAGGTTGGTATATTTAGTACTAGGGAGTAGATTCAGTCTTGACCTCTGCCTCCTGGTCATCCCTTCAATAGTAATTCGTGAGCCCACTGTGTGTGTGCAGGTGCGTGCTGGGCACTGGCTATTGCTGTTGATCAAGGTCAGAGCCTTACACTCTAGTAGGGGTGGGCATCAATGAGGGACAAAAGGAAGAAAATAAAGGGGTGGGGGTTACAATACTAGTTGTCAATTTCACTGAACATCCAAATCACAGATTGACAGACCCCACCCCACCCTATACCTGGGATCAGTAGGTCTAGTGTAGCGCCCAGGAAGATGCATTTCTAGCTGGTTCCAAGGTGCTGAGCCAGAATTCACACTAGAAACCACTAGGCTACAGTGACCTGGTGCAAGGGCGAGACTACTTTATATAGGGTGTCCCAGCAGGGCTGTAAAAGAAGCTGCTGATTCTGCTTAAATAATGAAGAGTTTCTTCTCTTCACGCCGCATGTGATCACACCATTGAATGCAATATGTTACCAAATGCAAGCTATTAGGCAAGTCCTTGTTTCTGTGTTAACTTCTATGTAGTGAGCAAATATTATAGGTCAATTGCTATGCTGAGGACTCTTGCCATAGGTACGGAGTTAATCTTCACAACAATGCTATAAAGTAAATGTAATCTCTGCTCCAGTTATAAGAAACTGAGGCTGAAAAAGAGCCAGTTGACACAATTGTGGTATTCAGAATACTACCTCTTGTCCCCAAAGATGTCTGCATTTCTAATCTGTGACTAGAGGCAGCTTTCCATGGCAAGTGGATGTTAGATGAGATTAAGATTATAGAGATTATTCTAGGTTACCCAGGGGGCCCAATATAATCATAGGATCATTCAAAGTCAGAGAGGATACAGCAGATTCTGTCAGAAAATGTGACAACAGAAAAAGAGGGAGGAGAGATGAACTCAACTCCCTCTTGTTAACTTAAGACAGGAAAGCTTCCACGCTGAGGCATACAGGTGACCTCTGGAAACTGACTGATCCTTAACACACACCCAGAAAGGAAACCAGACCTGTCCCCCTCTCACAAGGATTGTATTTGCCAGTAACCTGAGTGTGCAAGCATGTACTTCAGAAGCTGAATTCAGAAGTCTCCCAACCACATCATTATGATTCAGAAAGGAGCACAGGCTGCTGCCCCACTTTGGCCCCCAGTGCCACCTGTGTCAGACTCTAGATAGACGACAGAACAGCAAGGTTAATAAGTCTGTATTTTTTTAAGCTGCTAAACTTGTAATTTTGTTTCCGAAGCCAGGAAATACCAATATAAATCAGACGTTACAGGATACCCCTGTAGTCCCAGCTACTCCCATAGTCTCAGCTACTTGGGAGGTAGGGGTGGGAGGGTGGCTTGAATTCCAGAACCGCCTAGGCTGTGCAGCAGGAACCCATCTCAAAATAAAACAAAACAAACAAGAAAAAGAAAACTAACATAGCAACCTCATTTCTGAAAATCGGTGGAACACTATTTAAACAGAGATCTGAGCTCAGAATCATAACTCTGTGGTGGGAGACTACCGAGTTCAGCTTCTGAAATACATTCAGTTGAAGGATATAAAGGAAAGAATCCTCTTCTCCCCTCAAATTTTAACATTTGAAATTTCTGTAGGATTCACTGTCACCCACAAGTACAGTTACTCTCCTGGGAGCCTGGGCCTGATGATCTTCAAGATTAGACAGATTCTAAAACTCCTGATGTCCTCATTTTATAGGAAATTAAGAGAGGCCCCCTCCCAGAGGGGGGTGGGTAATGTGGGTGTGAAATTACCTATCCTAGGGTGATAGGAAAGTTGCAAAGCCACATTGGATTCATCTTACCTCCACTCATCAGAGTCTGGTAACTCACAAGGGGCTTAACAGAACCTGGGGTTAGTAGTGTCAGGGACCTAAAACATCTGTGTCCTTAAAACCTTGGACATGCTATTGCCAAACATGCTGAGGCACCCCAAGATCAGTTACTCAGTTCAAAACACTAATGACATCAACAGGGAGAGGGGGGAAAAAAAAGCACCATCATAATGGAAAAGCCCCTCCCAGCCACGCAAAGGGCCAGAAAGAGCCACCCCAGACCTGAAAGCACACAAATCTGCAGTTTCCCATACAAGGGTACCCCTATAATTTGTTCCAGGAACTCAAATCTCTGGTCTCTCATCCAGGTCCTCCCACCCTAAAAATCCATCTTTTATCTTCCAAACCTCTCAGCAGAAGGAAATGTTTTCCTTAGAGCAAAGTTTCTACTCTTCACTATCAAAGTACATGCCACAAATTTCAGGAAGGTTGGGTTTGTACTGAAGAACTCCTCCTCCTTGCCTCCCCGTTACAAATTACCCACGAACTATAAATGGCCATATTGGGGCAAATGTTGCCACCTCCCTGACAGAGATTTGTGTGCTTTCTTCGAGGCAGTAAATTCCCACCAGTCGGGGAATCTGAAAAACTGCTGAGAGATCACAGGGAAACCTGAAAAAAAAATTGCCACAATTACCAGGTGCCAGGCTGGGCCTTTCTGCGATCTCACTTAGTCCTTGCCACCACCTTATGAAGCGAGGTCCACGGTTTTACTGATGAGAAAATGAGGTTAAATAGCTTGCGGCAATTTCCTAGGGAGCACCTGTTCTCCGTGAACGGCACTCCCTAACGTTTTGTCAAAAAATTCGACCTTCTGGCTCTAAAGGGGGGTGCAGCTGAGCAGATCTGGGAAAACAAAGGTCTCTCCTGCGCAGTTCCAAAATTCAACCTCCAAGGGAAGAAAAGGGCATTGCTCGCGCGGAGGCTGATTCGGGGATCCTCCTCTCTACACGGCCAGAGCTTCTCTGGAGGTAAAGGTCAGGACGGGTGCTCAGGATCCCAAAGGGAGTTTCGGATCTAGGTCCCGCAGCTCCGCCCACCCCGCCCCACCCGGTCCTTTTCGGAGCCACACCCTGCTCTTTCTTGGTGTCCCACCCTGGCCTTTCTGGTTGGTAAACAGGGGCCACCCCCTCACCACGCGCCCTTCTGACGCACTGCCCAGCTGAAAGCCGGGGCGCAGGACAGCGGGCACACCCGCGGGGGCTGCGCACCGGGGGCTGCGCACCGGGGACGGAGGACAGCGGGCCCTGCCGGGGCTTACCGGAGTCGCCGGGGCGGGGAGGCTGCAGCCAGCGCGGCCTGGGTACTGCGCGGCGCTGCTGGGCGGGCCAGGCCGGGCCCCGCCTCCACCCGCTCCGGGCCGGGCTCGGTGACCGCCTCCTTCCCGGGACGAGTGAGCGCTGCCCCCGGGACTCGACTAACGTTTCAGACCCCGGGGGACCCAAGTTCTGAGCTGCCTCTTGGGTTTTGTTACCGAAAATAAACACAAGATACTCCCAAAGACTTCGGATCCCCGCCCCCCACTAAAAAAAAAAAGCTTATAAATATATTAATGTTTTCCAAAAGGTGTTTGTATTCAAACTGCTCCTGCCTTGTTCCCACGTGACCTGTCTGGGACTTAGCGCTGAGGCTCCTTCCTGCTTTCAGACTCCCAAGTTCCTCAACCACAGCCCCGTGGATGCCGATCATCTGGCTAGGAACCTGGACAAAATTCTGCTCTGGGTTTAGAAACTTACAGGTTTAGAACTGGAACAGGAGTCTACTTTACCTTTTGCATATAGCTCGTGCTGCTTATTTTAAAAGGGACATGTTTTTCTTTTTGCTTCTCCCTCTCCCCTAACCTGGAGGCAGGGAACCAGATGACCTGTTCTCCATAGGAAGGAGATGTCATGAGAAGCACTGGGAAGTGACTATCTCCCCAAATTCACAAGTGAATTTCAACACTCCATCTGAGCACACCTGAAAGGTAGCCTTTCAAAAAAAAATTTTTTTTATTCTGATTTGTTATACATGATGGCAGAATGTAATTTATTTCGTATTATACATATAGAGCACAATTTTTCAAGACACTGACTGTACACAGAATATTTTCACACCATTGGTGTCTTATACTTAGGGTAATGATGTCTAACTCATTCCACCACCTTTCCTATCCCCTCCTTTCCCCTCCCTCCCCTCTCCCCTATCTAAAGTTCCTCCATTCCTCCCATGCTCCCCACCAACCCATCACCATTATACCTCTGTGTCCTCATATCAAAGAAAATATTTGGCCTTTGGTTTTTTGTGGGGGATTGGCTTGCTTCACTTAGCGTTATATTCTCCAACTTCATCCATTTACCTGCAAATGCCATGATTTTATTCTCTTTTAATGCTGAGTAATGTTCCATTGTGTATATATACCAAATTTTCCCTATCCATTCATCCACTGAAGGGCATCTAGGTTGGTGCCACAATTTAGCTCTTGTGAATTGTGCTGCTGTAAACATTGATGGGGCTGTGTCCCTGTAGTATGCTGTTTTTAAAGTGCTTTAAATAAGTGTAAACCAAGGAGAGGGATAACTGGGTCACATGGTAGTTCCATTCCAGGTTCTCTAAGGAATCTCCATACTTCTTTCCACATTGGCTGTACCAATTTGCAGTCCCACCAGCAGTGTATGAGTGTGCTTTTCCCCCCACATCCTCGCCAACACTTATTGTTTGTATTCTTGATAGCTGCCATTCTGACTGGAGTGAGATGAAATCTTAGTTTTGATTTGCATTTCTCTAAGCTAGAGATATTGAACATTTTTTATATGTTCAAGAAGTGTCTCTTCAGTTCCTTGATCTATTTATTGATTGGGTTATTTGTTTTTGTTTTTGTTTTTTTCTGTTAAGGTTTTTGAGTGCTTTATGTATCCTAGAGATTAGTGCTCTATGTGATGTGCTTGTGGTAAAGATTTGCTCCCATTCTGTAGGCTCTCTATTCACTTCACTGATGGTTTCTTATGCTGAGAAGAAGCTTTTAATTTTGAATCCACCTCATTTATTGATTCTGTTTTTAATTCGCCATAGGAGTTTAATTCCTAGGCCCTTGATCCACTTTGAGTTGAGTTCTGTGCATGGTGAGAGATAGAGGTTTAATTTTATTTTGTTACATGTGGATTTCCAGTTTTCCCAACACCATTTGTTGAAGAGCCTATCTTTTTTCTCCAATGTATGTTTTTGGCGCCTTTGTCTAATATGAGATAACTGAAGTTATGTGGGTTAGATTCTGTGTCCTCTGTTCTGTACCATTGGTCTACAGTCTATTTTGGTGCCAACAGCATGCTGTTTTAATTACTATTGCTCTGTAGTATAGTTTTAGGTCTGGAATAGTAATGCCACCAGCTTCATTCTTCTTGCTAAGGATTGCTTTGGCTTTTCTGGGTCTCTTATTTTTCGAGATGAATTTCATGATTGCTTAATCTATTTCTATGAGGAATACCACTGGGTTTTTTATTTGAATTGCATTTAATCTGTATAGTGCTTTAGGTAGTATGGTCATTTTGACAATATTAATTCTGCCCATCCAAGAATAAGATAGGTCTTTCTGTCTTCTAAGGTCTTCTTTAATTTCTTTCTTTAGCGTGTTGTAGTTTTCATTGTAGAGGTCTTTCACCTCTTTTGTTAAATTTATTCTCAATATTTTATTTTTCTTGAGGCTATTGTAAATGGGGTGGTTTTCCTAGTTTCACTTTCAGCGGATTTGTCACTGATGTACAGAAATAGCTTATTTCTGTATGGGTGTTGATTTTATATCCAGATACTTTGCTGAATTCATTTAAATTAGTTCTAGGAGATTTCTGGTGAAATGTTTTGGGTCTTCTGGGTATGGAATCATATTGTCTTCAAAGAGTGTTAAGTTTTTTTTTTTTCCTATTTGTATCCTTTTAATTTCTTTCATCTGTGTGATTGCTCTGGCTAGAATTTCAAGAACTACGTTAAATAGAAGTGGTGACAGAGGGCATCCCTACTTGTTCTTGTTTTTAGAGGGAATGCCTTCAGTTTTCCTCTATTTAGAATGATGTTGGCCTAGTTAGCATAGTTAGCCTTTACAATGTTGAGGCATGTTCCTGTTATCCCTAGTTTTTCAAGCATTTTGAACATGAAGGAGTGCTGTATTTTATCAAATGTTTTCTCGGTATCTATTGAGATGATCATATGATTTTTATCTTTGAGTCTATTGATGTGAGGAACTTCATGTTGGACCAACCCTGCATTCCTGGGATGATCCCTACTTGATTGGGATACACTATCTTTTTGATATGTTTTTGAATTTGATTTGCTGAAATTTTATTGAGAACTTTTGCATCTATATTCATTAGAGATATTGGTCTGAAGTTTTCTTTCTTTGATGTGTCTTTATCTGGTTTTGGAATCAGGGTGATATTGGCCTCATAGAATGTATTTGCAGTTTCCTTGTGGGAGACCAACCTTGCACATGACTGAGTCACACTCCCCGGCTGGGTGCTGAGGCGCTCAGTCACAGAAATGTGGCAGAGCTTTCCCCACCCTTCTTGGGTTCGAGGGTCAGTGTCTCGTGCATGGATGTGTCTTGCTACAGCCCCATGGGTGAAGCTATGCTCACCTGTTCTTTGTAATATAACCCCTTGCTCTGTTTAGGATAGAATCTTCCATGGAAGTGCCGTGTGTGTGTGTGTGTGTGTGTGTGTGTGTGTGTGTGTGTCCCCTTCTCTTACTGTGCCCTTGGGTGTGGCCTACTCAGATGTCAGTCAACCTGCTGACAGTGGACATCATGAAGATAGACTCAGCCCCCTGAAACCTGACCTCTTGCCTCATTTGAATAGCTTCTCCTCAATAAAAGGGGTCATCTCATGCTCTCTCTCTCTCTCTTCCTATGGACCCTTAAGGTAAGAGGAACCATTACAGTGACCCCAAAGAAAAAGGTATTTGTGTCTCTTGTGTGGTTATTTCGTGCAGCCCAGTCAGCCCAGTTCAACTGGAGTGACCCCTGAGCCTTTTAGTCACAAGAACAGAAACCTGGCATTCCCTCTTTTTCTATTTCATGAAATAGTTTGAGAAGTATTTGGTGTCAGTTCTGCTTTAAAGGTCTTGTAGAAATCAGTTTTGTATCCATCCTGTCCTAGGGTTTTCTGGGTTGATAGACTTTTAATGGTGTCCTCTGTTTCCTTGCTTGAAGTTGATCTGTTTAAATTGTGTATATCATCCTGATTTAGTTTAGGCGTACTATATGCCTCTAGAAATTTGTCGATGTCTTTGATATTTTCTATTTTATTGGAATACAAATTTTCCAAATAATTTCTAATTTTCTTCTGTATTTCTGTAGTGTCCGTTGTAATATATCATAGATATTAGTAATTTGAGTTTTCTCTCTTCTTCATTAGCATGGCTAATGGTTTATCAATTTTATTTATTTTCTTTTCAAAGAATCAACTTTTTTGTCAATTTTTTCAATTGTTTCTTTTGTTTCAATTTCATTATTTCTAATTTCATCCCATTGTGGTCTGATAGAATGCAGGGTAGTATCTCTACTTTTCTGTATTTACTAAGATTTGCTTGGTAGCATAACATATGGTCTATTTTAGAGAAGGATCCATGTGTTGCTAAGAAAATGTATTTGCTCATTGATGGATAACATACTCTATATTAATGTCAGTTAAGTCCAAGTTATTGTGTTATTGAGTTCTAAAGTTTCTTTCTTGAGCTTTTGTTTGGTAGAAAGAGGTGTTAAAGTCACCCAGAATTATTATGTTGTGATCTATTTGACTCTTGAACTTCAGAAGAGTTTGATTGATGAACGCAGATGCTCCAGTGTTTTAGGCATACATATTTATAACTGTGATGTCTTGTTGATGTATGTTTCCATTAAGCAGTATGAAATGTCCATCTTTATCCCTTTTGATTAACTTTGGCTTGAAGTCTACTTTATTTAATATGAGGATGGAAACCCCTGCTTGTTTCCACAGTCCATGTGAGTAATATGTTTTTTCCTAACCTTCACCTTCAGTCTGTGGGTGTCTTTTCCTATGAGTCTTTTGAAGGCAGCATATGGTTGGGTCTTTTTTTAAATCTAATCTACCAGCCTATGTCTTTGATTGGTGAGTTTAAGCCATTAACACTTAGAGTTATTATTGAGATATAATTTGTATTACCAGTCAGTTTTGTTTATTTTTGGTGTTTTGCCTGACTTGGTTTCTCCTTTGGTTTGTATTTCCTTTTATTGTAGTTCTTCCCTTTGCAGATTTCATTGTTTTAAATTTCCTTTTCGTGGAATATTTTGCCAAAAATGTTCTGTAGTGCAGGCTTTCTTGCTGTAAATTCTTTTAGCTTTTGTTTATCATGGAAGGTTTTTATTTCATCATCAAATTTGAAGCTTAATTTTGCTGGATATAAGATTCTTGGTTGGCA